GTAGTACCTGCCCCCTGCTACTAATCTTAAATCGTAGCAAAATAAGGTCTCATCTACCCCGATATTAACCCCAAGCCGAGCATTAAGGGCAACCACGCCCACCACTATTCTAAAGAAGTTGACACCACATTGGAGGGGGAAAAACCTCAATTGCATCAACATTCTAAGTACCAGGAGTGAAGGGGAAAGGTCAAACCCCCTTCCATGATGACCTTTGTCCAGAAAGGCATCATCTCAACATATCCTAGGTCCCTTCTATGATAGAGGGGGTTAAAGGGAAAAGTGAACACATGCTTAGGGATCCGATATCTAGCTCTAAAGGCATCTATGTTTTCCTCATGGACCTCAGTTCTCCTTGGTCTGCGGTTAGTCCTAGTTATAGCAGGTGCTCTCTCGCCTGATCTACAGGTTCTAGCCATTGGTGGGTTCTAAGGAGAAGAAATGTAGAAGAAGTAAGAAAGGGACTTAATAAGAAGGAGGTACTTACAGGTGAGGGATCTCCAAGAAAGATGCTCGGGAGTTGAAGGAAGAGTGCTCCAGAGTTGAGAAAAGAGTGCTCGAGAGTTGATTGCTGAAGAAGAATTTGGAGTGCAAAAGTTCTAAAAGGGCTCAGGCATCCTCTATTTATATCCTCTTGAGGGGCGGGAATCGAAAAGACAAGTCATCATTAGGAAGATTTGAAAAGGGCGGCGTCACATGTACAAGTAACCGTCTCTATTTGTGAGGCATGTCTTCTGAGCCTCTAATCTCTTTACGCCATCTGTCCCAAGCTGCAAAAAGAATGGAGGCAGGGGGCAGTTGTAGAGACTTTAGGCAATCCTAGGCCCCCAGACTGAGACGTGTGAAGATGGATCCAATTACAAAGGCCCGATAGGCACCAGGGAGGTAAGCCGAAAGATAATGACTCGGAGGAGCCGAGTACGACAGTTGACCCCGCATTTAATACGACTTGACTATTCATTTATGGCGAAATGAGTGATGGTGACAAAGCCATTATGAGCGTCTGCAAGCACCTGCATCCTCAAAACCTAGGCCTACTATCATGATGGCTAGGCATTAATGGCTACTAAGCCGAGTATATACGTTCGGCTCTCTCCGAGGAACTGTTCCACTGAGTATTCAATGCTCGGTTACGAGTGTCAGACGCTGATATGAGGGATGTGGATACTCGGGGGGGGGGGGGGGGGGGGCGCAGGCATAAATGCTTGGCATGACGCTGAGCATTCATCCTATCAATCCTACCATTGAGTAGGAGAAGATTTGAGTGGAGAACACTCATTGCGCAAGAGGAGGTGTGTCAGACATCAAATATATTTTTTATCTAAGACCAACATGCATATAATTTTAGATAAAATATATTTTTCTCCTCATAAATTTGTTCTTAGCAACACTTTGGTCTTTAAAATTTATAATTTTCAAATTACTACCGAAACTTCTTAAATTTTTTTATGGGCCCAAAGCTAACTTCTATCCAAATTAATAGAGGAAGGGATGGGATTATAAAAATAAAGTGAAAACATCAAAGTTTATATTTTTAGAATTGAAACTTTTGTATTTTTTTTTCTGAGCAAAAACTTTTGTATTTCAAAGTGATATTAAGGGCAAACTTCAGGAGGAAAAGTGTATTGTTGGTCATATTTTGATTATTGTCAAAGTTTCTACCTTTGTTTAATCACAAATGGGACTATATTCAAGATCACGACATAATATAAAGGACATAGACCACATGTCTGGTTTTTACAAAGGTCTAGTGATTTGGGCGAAATAAATGAATTCAACTATAAATCCTCAAAAAACTGAAGTTTTCTTAATTTTAATTAAGTATGGAAAGACCTTAGGCCTGTCAAAATTCGACACGATACGATTAACATACACGAATTAATACGAATTAAGCGGATTTGAGTGAGAACTTAATGGGTTTATATGGTAAACAGATTGACTCGTCAGACACGTTTAATAAACGGGGTCGTATACGGATGAGACCTGTTAAACCGTTTATCACACATTTACTCGTTTAAATAAAATTAATATAATAATAAATTAATAATTATTTTAAAAAATTAGCCAAAAATAAAGAAATAAAGAAAAAAAAAAGAAAACAGTAATTCAAAGACAAAGAAGGGGAGATGAGGAGCAGACAAAGACAAACCAATGTCTTTTGTTTTTATTCTACATCGGCAAATGAGGGGAGATGGGGAGGGTTGACTTGCCTATAAAATGTAATTGCCTCTTAACTTCTTTTTTAGTCTTCAAGTCTGTTTTTTATATGAAATTTGGCTAAAAATTCCTCTTTTTTGAAGTAAGTATAGTTGGCAGTAAAAAAATGTAGTATTAAAATTTGTTGATATAATTTTTTTAAAATTAAATAGGTTAAACGAGTCGTATCGTTTTACCTGTTTATTATATTTTTCATCGTCACCCGTTTAACCGACACATAACCGTTTAACCCGACAAGTTTGACACCCTTAAAAAACCTCATTTAAAAGATATTGTTTTAGGCCTCAAACTTATTTGGACCACCCCTAGAGAAGGGTTGCAAAGCTTTGCCTCCCCATTTCCTAAATTGCTAATTTTATTTTTTATTTTTAATTATCAAATTAAGGGTGTTTGTTAACTCAAATTTAGCACTTAAAATGAATGTATTCAACACTTATTAATTAAGTTTGTTTGATAACTAAAATTTAAACTCTCTTAATATGTTAAGTGCTCTTTAAAAATAGGCTACAGTATTAAGTAGAAGATTCATGACTTAATTCTGAAAACTAAAAGCGCTAAGCAAAATCATCTTTAGTAATATTTATAATATGACAATTATACTCCGAAATATTTTATAATCGTATTAAAACTCTAATTAGTATTCTCTTTAAAACCATTAACATAAATATTCTCTTTGTCGATCTCTCTTTTTTTATTTTTCTTTCCTTCGTCTTCTATAACAAAAATATACATACATAATTATAATTACACACACAAACACATGCACTACACACACTGTACACACATAATTACACACAAACATATGCACTACACACACACACACACGACGCACACACATATTGTTAATAAAATCTAATTTATTATATTTTTTCAATATTATTTGATTAATTATTAATTATTATTCTTTTTTTATCAAAAGTTATTATTCACTTATTATGTTATTTAATTTGTTATTATTTACTTATTGTGTTATTTAGTTGTTATTTATTTATTTATATTTTTTTATCAAATATTTGTTAAATGTAGACTACAATATAATAAATTGATTATGATTTATGTTATGACATATTTTATAAATATTTTCAAATTAAAGAGTGGAAGGGTAAAAATAAAAATTAATTTTTTTAGACATTAACTCTGTGTAAGTATTAAACAATTTAATTTAATTCAATACTTCAATTTCAGTGAATACCAAACAGTTCACAAATTCAACATTCAATTTTCAACTTTCAGATTTTAACTTTTAATTTTTAGATTTTATATTCCAATTTTGTCAAACACCACCTAAATCTCCCTCTAATCTAATTATACCATGTGTCCTTTCTTACCCTCCTCAATTCCTTCCCAACTAAAGACAGTTTTTTCAAATTTATGAAAACAACATTATTTTTACTATTAAAATAACTTTTTTTAACTTTCTTAAGTGATAAAGTGAAGGAGGAAAGAAAAGGATACCTTTTATGTAAAGTAGTAAAATATATAGATCATGTGCATCGCTCGGGCCGGTTGATAGTGTGTATACATATAAAACAAATAACCTGTTAGGTGAGAGACTTTGAAAATTCTTTCCCTCCTTACTTTCAAAAATTAAAATTTTAAAAGTCTCCTCCAATTATATTTTAACATATGTCCCTTATCATCTATCATTTTTCTAACTGTTGTTTTAAAATTAGGGCAAATTATACTTTGAACTCAGAAAGATTTTGAGATCTTCAATTTATATCTTCAATGTTTAAATTTTTTACATTATATCCTCAATTTTATCAAAAGTGTTGCAATGTGATCTTTTTGTTAAATTTTTGATGAAAGTGGTCACGTGTAATTTTTTTAGACAGTATCAAGCGCCCAACACGTGATCATTTTGTCAAAAATTTAACGGTCCGTCTATGCGAGGATCAAAATAGCATGAATTGAATATTTTAAAGATAAAATTGATAAAATTGATTCATTGAAGATTAAACTGACAAAAAATACATACTTTAAAAATCAAAAGTAATATTAATCCTTAAAATTTATTTTTATTGCTTAATAATTTCAGCGTTTCTTCCACAATTCATTAGTCTTAGTTGGGTATAATATGGCAGGCATGATATATGCCAAAATTCTCTCTCTCTCTTCTCTGACGCAGACATGCAAAAGTGAGGCCAATTATAAATAGTGAGATGTTGCAATGAATGTGGTGTTTCCACATGTATGCAGCATCTGAGAATAGCAATTACGTACGTCACGTTGAGATCCATTTCTTGTCTCATGCATATGATTTCACTAATCTCAGAATTGCCACCAACCTCGATTCAAAAAGATGTTTTTACGTCTACCCTTTCTGGCACAGCAAAGCTTCTGTTAAAGTAATAAAGACCTGACAATGAGCTCAGAATTTATTCACTGCACACAATAAATCTCTTTTTTTAAGTCTTAAACTACCAATTTAATTACTTACCCAAAAAAAAAACCTACCAATTTAATCCAAAATCTGTCAAACACAGAAGATGCTATTTTATACTTACCCTAAGGACCTAATCCACCACTCGCCAAATTAAGTCTTCATAGGATTACTTGCCAAACACCTACCCAATTGAGTGTTTCTGGCTCCAAATAGCATTATTGCCAATTGTGTAATCTTTCTCTCTCCCCCTGCTTTCCTCCCTCCCTCTTTTAAGTCCCCTCTCTCTCTCTCTCTCTTTCTCTCTGCATATCCATGGATCTATCTATATATCTTCATATATTTATATGAACTAATTCGTTTCTTCCATCTGTATGTGAGAGAGAGAGAGAGAGGGAAAATGGGTATGGGAATTGAGAGCTTTTGTTTGGTGGCGTTTGGTATGTCTCTGATTTTTTCATGTCTCTGCTTAGGTAAAGGAGGAAATGTCAGTATGAAAGCGAGAACAGAGCAAACTGGCTGCAATATGTTCGAAGGGAGTTGGGTTTACGACGATTCATATCCTCTTTACGACTCATTGGCATGTCCACATATTCGCAAGGAATTCGATTGCTTAAAGTATGGTCGCCCGGATCATCAATACCTTAAATATCGCTGGCAGCCTAACGAATGTGACTTGCCAAGGTACGTCTCCTTCTCCCTCTCCCTCTGTGCGTATGTGTTTTGCATATGTGTGTGTGCCCGTGAGTCCGTGAATGATGTAACGTAACTGACCCGAAAAATTATAAAAACAAAACTTTTAATCCAGGATAGATCATAACGTAGAAGTCAATTGTAATGATGCAATGGGCCGGTGGTGACAGCGATGCATGAAACAACCAAGTCAGTTGTCCATGTGGGGACAGTTTGGCTGACGCCATTAGCTCTGTTTAAAATACAAGGAAAAATTCTCTGAAACCGTGAATTATTTGTTCTGTTGTCTAATAACCAGTTTAATTGATTAATTTGGGGAAGAGTCACAAATTACAGAGCAATGTGAGGAGAAATAAGCAAAGTGAAATATACAAGTTATGTGTTAATTGTTGTTTACAACTCGTGTGTAAGTGTTCAATTGACATTTTGGGTAAGAACTTAAAGGTAAATAGAATGCATAATTGTATCAGCAATAACCCAAGAGCAATAAACCCGCACAAATATTACCCAAGAAAAAAATAAGGATTTTTTGTATTTTACACTTGGAAAGATTTCAATTTTCTTATTTTGTATTTTTAAAAATTAAATTTTCTTTATTGTACCCTCAGTGTATACAAAATATTGTAATGTAATCCTTCTGCTAACTTCTGTTATTTTTTACATTAAAAGCCAACCTGTTGACATTGACAGAAAATTAACAGAAGGACACCATTACAATATTTTTGATGTATTAAGGATGTAATGTGAGAAATTTAATCTTTAAGGATACGAAATGAAAATTTTAAAATATTTTAGGGTATAAAATGTAATTAGTCCAAAAAATAATATAGTTAATTTTGCTTGATTATTGGCTTGAATTTTTATGTAGAGATGAATCTTGACTATTTGCATTGCAGATTTGACGGTCAAGATTTCTTAAGGAGATTTATGGGCAAGAAAATCATGTTTATTGGAGACTCAGTGAGTCTTAATCACTGGCAATCACTTGTATGCCTTCTGCATTCTGTTGTGCCTCAATCAAATATCACACGGGAGACAAATAATGACACAACCACTACATTCACATTTCAGGTTAGTAATCTTATTAGCTTCTCTTGTTTATATATGGACAATTTTACTCACCAAAATTGACACAAAAGTAACAAGTATGAGCTAAGATTAATAGGTTTTGTGTCATAATTAGATAGACTAGTTAGATTCGTTTAATAAATAGATCGATACGAACCTAGCGACGAAGGCCGGCCCAATAGTATTAAAAAAAGTATGAGCTTTAGGTGCCAAATTTTTAGAAGGTCCCATAACTAGTCCATATAAAAAATTTAAATCCATGGAAATTTTAGGCCTTATAAAAACGCCCAAAAAAATTTATATCCAATCAAAAAATTATAATTTCCATAATTTGGGCCTACAATTCAATCCACAACATTAGAAACTCAAAAATCAAAAATTTTAAAAATAAATAAAAAAAATTCAAAAATCAACTCATATTTACTCATCTCTCTCTTGAAAAACAAAAACAAAATATCACATCCTTCTCTCTCACTTAAAAAAAATTAAAAAATATTTTTTTTAAAAATATAATACTAAAAATAAAAAAGTCTCATTTAGTATTACCGTTTTAGGCCTCAATTTACCTTGAGCCGGCCCTGCCAGCGACATAAATTAGGGGTATCAATCATGTCATGTTATTTTTATGTTATGTTACTTTCAGTCGTGTCATTTTCGTGACATGTTACTTTTGATATGTGTCGTGTTCGTTTTAATATTCGTCACTTTTGATTCGTTTTTTTGGTCCACAGTACTCTTTAAGTAATTATTTTCTATCTACAGTGTCCATTAATCTTGTTATTCTAATCGAATCTTAATTTGACTCATTTATTATTTGTGTAAATTAATCATATTATTTTCAAGTTATGTGTCGGGTAAAGTTCGTCTCGTGTTCGTGTTGATGGAGATGTGACAACATTGAAACTTATTCATTCTACAGATATATGCATTGAATGAGATTACAATGGATGTTAAACAATATCTAATTTTGCTGTCAATCTTTGCAGGATTATGGAGTTTCAGTGACAATTTTTCATTCTTTATACTTGGTAGATATTGACTTGGAAGAGATTGGTCGAGTTCTAAAACTCAATTCTCTTAAAAATGGAGATGTATGGAAAAATTATGACATTTTGATCTTCAACACTTGGCTTTGGTGGTATCGCAAAGGAATCAAACAACCGTACGTAAAATTACTTTTCATTTATTACATTTTTCTCCTCAGAAAATGTTCGTTTAGAAACACTGTAGTCATTGAGGTTTCAATTGTTACACATTATTGCTTGAACATCTCAAGTTTGTGTCATGTATAAATTACAGATGGGACTATATTCAAGAAGGTGACACTATTTACAAGGACATGGACCGTATGTCTGCTTTTCGTAAAGGTCTAGAGACATGGGCGAAATGGGTTGATTCAGATATAAATCCTGAAAAAACTGAAGTTTTCTTTCAAGGAATATCTCCTTCTCATTACAAGTAAGTTTCCACAATTTAAATTTGCACACGCACACAAACACCCACATCACCATAAAATATAACAATGATTTTAAAGCAATGTGACTTCCCTCGCTTTGAACCTTAAAGTTTTCAATTCACACTAAATGAAACATTCGAAACATTTCAAAACTTCTAATGGATGTGACCTCGCATCAATTATGTCATTCGAAAGTGGGTTTTATCAATCTTTAGTTCAATTGTTTCTTACTTTGATGTTGAATTAGTGGCACGGAGTGGGACGAGCCGGGAGTGACGAATTGCTTGAAAGAAACAGTGCCTATAAATGGATCAACTTACCCAAGTGGTTTGCCTCCAGCAACAACAGTTGTGAAAGAAGTCTTAAACAATGTATCAAATCCAGTCTATTTACTTGACATAACTACTCTTTCACAACTGAGAAAAGATGCACATCCTGCTATTTACAGTGGGATCGGAGGCATGGACTGCACACATTGGTGTGTTGCTGGGCTTCCAGACACATGGAATCAGCTTCTATATGCAGCTCTCATATGATGAGGAAGAAGAAGAAATTACAAGCACATTGGGAAGAACATTTGACAAAAATTAACCAACACAACATAGTTTCACCATATTATTTGTCAGTCATTTGATTAGGTTTATTTGATGATGAGCATTGATTTAGGCAAATAAAATGCAAGCAATAATGTTATTCCTACCCACTTTATTAATGTAGCACAAATACAAGGACTCGACTATTAGCAGGCCTATTAAGATCCATTAATTCAACAGTCCATGACTTGGTAAAAAAAAAGTTGATAAAATGTTGCAAATACAAATAGTATAGAGGTGGCTCCTCAACAAGAGGTCATCAAAATTGATTGTGAATTGCATAAATAAACTCATGTCACTTCTTCTCCACATTTTATCGGACCTTATATACAAGCAAGACTAGTTTTACAACGAGATATATGTAATTCGTTTATTAGTGTTTATATGACAACACAAGAGAATTATATAAAAGATTAAAAAAAGTTGTTACAATAAAAAGTGTACACAATGAGGAGATCGAAACAACTTGTTGCAATGCCAATGAATACGATTTTTTTTTTTTGCACAAAATGAAGTAGTGGTACTTAAAGTTTGCTATCCGTCTAATTTTTGTCAGTTTAGTCCATAAAGTTGGATGTATATGTTCAAATGGTCAAATCAATGATGGACATTTTGTAAAACTAGAGAAAATTAAAATATTTATTAAAAGGGTATACAGTAATTAAGTCATTTAAGTGCATATTAAAAATCTAAATTTTTATATAACTCGGATGATAAAATAGATCTCACTGTTAGATTCATCTTGCGAAATCAAGTTAGTTAGTCAAATTTCATTAAATTTTGAGACAGTCAAAATTTTTCTTGTAAAAAAAGGCGAAAATGTGTGATCGGATGATGCCCTATTAAATTCTAGCAACTTAATTTTATTTGAAAGACCCAAAATATAAATGATCTAGATATTTTAATGAGCATTATCCAAGCATGACACATGGCACATTGTGATTGGCTGTCTTGGATTTCCAACCTATGGAAAATTGGCAAGTGATGTATTGTGGGCCAAGCATATAAAGAGTATTTAAAGGGGAATCAAATTTTTCCTTCATTTGTCTTGCCAAAAATGATGGAGAGAGAGAGGAGTTTCCAAAATCCTTCAACCTCTCCGACTTTCCTTGGATCATAACTTTTAATTTGGTCATTAGAATTCGATCAATCAAGAATTAAAGTTATTCTACTCAACGATGGCAACGTGGCAACACCAACTTCAAGCATTTTCCACCAATTCTAAAATTTAAAAGGTTGGGCTAGGGCTTTAAGGAGCTTGTTTTGGGCATTTTTCAAGATTTTTCTCCCTATTTACGCTTCAAGAGGCGAGGAATTCCTTCCATTTAGGATTATTTATAATTTTAAGTTGTATACGATGTGAGTAGGATTGTGCAGAATATTTACATATCTACCATGTATCTAATGTAGTTAGTGGGATGTTTGGATGGAATGATGAGCATGTTATGCCTAATTCTATTTGATTTTGGGCGTTGAATATGTTAAATGTGAGTTGTGTGAACATGTCTATTATATGTTTATAGTATATGCATTATGGGTGTTTGATAAAATGTCAAAGTATATTCAAGTCTGTTATTTGAATTGATATTACTTATAACATGTTTTGTGATGGTAATGAAATTTTATTATATGTCTCATGATATAATTAACATGCTGATGCTTACATGATCTAATTAGCATTGTGATGAAATAAAATTGTAAGTATACATTATATTACATATGAACAAGTTTCACTACATTCGTAGGCATTGGCATGAGTATAAGTGTGTGTGCATGGGATGGGTCAATCACCACATGGTGAGTTAATTGGGGGGCTCGGGAAAATTGGACAAACGTTTAATTGAGTTGCACGGAATATTACATGAAAAATGTGTAAAGTATAGCAAAGAAGTGATAGATTCTCCCTTGGATGCAAAGTCCGGTTACTCGTTTCAGACATTTGCCCCACGGTGCAATTTCAGAAAAGTGTGTCACTGTACTTAGAACCAAAGGTGGGGTGCCCTTGAATGTCGTATCGGTTTGGTAGCCCATTGGTGTGATGTCCATAAATTACCTACCCAAGAAAGACACAAATATTAATAATGGTCATTGGATGCTGAACATCAATGGCAGGGGTATGGAATGTCCGGTTCATGTCATGGCATCGTAGCATCCATCGTGCATGGGAACCCAGGAGGGGGTTCAGTGTTGGACATGTATTCATGAAACATTATTTATGTTTGACATTCATGATAATATTCATATGTTACTTGAAATATATGTTTGGAGTGCTTGGTGCACTTTCATATCATATGCATTGGGATTAGGAGGTATTCTCTATAGGAGATATACCCTACTAGGCTTTAGCTCACCCGTTTGTGGAAATGTTTTTCATGTATTAGACGAGCTTCCATTGAAGACCCCTACTAGGGCCCACTTTGAGGATAGAGCTAGATTGTGGCTGTTTATTTGGATTTGTAGTCCCTTGTATAGAATTACATTTTGACCTTGTATAATGTTAAGTACAAAACTTGTATTTTATTAAAGGTATGTAATGAGACTTTTATGGACATTATTCTTTTGAGAAAAAATGGATGATTTATGATGATGGTTATAGATGAATAGCTAATGTTTAATACTTAGATATTGGTGTATTGAACCTTTGAATGGTCATATGGGTATTGTATGCACATGTTGTGTATTAGGTAGAGCTTCCCGTACAAAGGAGATTCTGCCCAAATTTCATTTAATTATGAACTCTAGTAAATAGGGTGTAATGACGTGGAATCGAATTATATGGTATTCACGGATATTTTCGTGGGTTGAAGGGTGATTAATGGGTTGAGAAATGACCCTCAAATTTTGGGGTGTCACACATTTAAATTCATAATAAAAAATACCATGTTCACTTTTATGGTCTTCAAAGTATGAGTGAATTCAAAAATATTAATGTCGAAAACTAGTAAAAAATTATCAAGAAAAGAAGATGGCATGCTGGTTAGGAATGACAAATTCTGACACAACACAATAATACGACACAAACTAATGGGTTTGGGTTGAATTTTTTTTTTTTGACACAAACCCATATATAACACGATCCCTCAACGCGAATTATTAATGGGTCGTGCTCAATTCAAGCCGTTTAACCTGAAATTGACCGTGTATCTAATCGAGTTGACACGAACCAAATTAACCTATTTTTTAGCCCGGATAACCAATCATTATATAAATGAACTTATTTGGATCCTAACCCTAAATTCATTTCAAATCTGACATTTACTCTACCTCCTTCTTGCATCTTCCTCCTGACAATTTGACTGGCCCGACTCTGACTCCCCTTTGCAAGATGTGAGTCATCACCGTCGACATCCATCCACCAGACTACCAACAGTTTAGCTCTTTACCTCTCTCCCTTCCCTATACTTTACTTCATGCAAATCTGCACTTTGTTATATGCGGATTTGAATTTCACTACATTGGAGAAAGAGGGGGAGGCAGTGTAATATGGTGGAGAAAGAGGGGAAAATGACATGTTACAACTGAGGCAAGTTGATCGTGATGCTTGGGTTGGCTTGTGAGTGAAGGTGGATGAGGAGATGAACAAGTTTTGGGTCATGAAGGGTAATAGAAGTGGTGGTAGTATTGTATGGGGAGTTGCAGAGGCTGTTGAGTTTAGGGTTTTGTGTGTGGTGGAGAGAGATTGAGAGAATATTGGGGCTGCTGACAACCAATAGGGTTCAGGGGAGTAAGGCATTTTTAATTAGGCTCAAATTCAATTTCAATTAGGCATTTTCAATTTCAAGCTCAAAGCTGTTAATATTAAAGATTTCAATTTCAAGCTAAAAGCTATTAATATTAGGCAATTTCAAGCTCAAATTCAAATTCAATTTCAATTAGGCATTTTCAATTTCAATTTAAGGTTGGGTCGTGTTAGGCGGGTTGGACCGTGTTTACCCGGATACAACTTGTGTAAATCTTGAGTCACGAGTCATGTTTAGAAGTAGGTCGTGTTCGTGTCTAGATAACTTGACTCATTTAACTCACAGGTCGTATTTGGGTTGATGTGTCTTGAACCCAAACCCAACATGACAAGACACGCACGACACAATTGTCACCAGACTCACCCTTATTGTTGGTGATTTGCAGGACAAATATAAAGGGAAACAAGAAAAGGGTGCCTCCATTGATGTTTTAAGGGAAATGGGAAACCTCTGATGTGTTAATCAAGCTCAAATTCAATTTTAATTAGGCATTTTCAATTTAAGGTTGGGTCGTGTTAGGCAGGTTGGATCGTATTTACCTGGATACAACCTATGTAAATCTTGGGTCACGGGTCATGTTTAGATGTAGGTCGTGTGCGTGTCCAGATAACCTGACTTGTTTAACTCACAAGTCGTATTTGGGTTGATGTGTCTTGAACCCAAACCCAACATGACAAGACATGCACGACACGATTGTCACCCTTATTGCTGGTGATTTGCATGACAAATATAAAGGGAAACAAGAAGAGGGTGCCTCGACTGATGTTCTAAGGGAAATGGGGAAACCTCTTATGTGTTAATCAATTAGGATTTAGGAGAATAATTTGAAAGGAAAAGAGTCATGGCTTCTGAAAGCTTGTCTTAATGTGAATAAGCCCATCCGATGGTCTTAAATATACTCATTCAATGACTCTCACAGACCATTGTTTTGCTCCTTCATGCCCTCTCAAGTGTCAACAGGTACGTCTCTTTCTCTCTGCTATTTTAGTATTGGTTGTATTGTAGATTAACTTGGTAAATTAGTTGATGATACTTGATATTCCATACGAAATTAAGGGCATTGCTTAGTTATTAATTCCAAAAATTACAAAAATTGGGAATTCAGGGAGATGAAATTGGGGTTTTAATCTGTTTAATTAAGAGTTGGATAGAGGTGAAATCTTACTGCCTAATTGAGCATGTGTTTTGGCTTAATTATTACTGATTTATCTATTTGATTGAGAATCTATTTGGTAATTTTGGGATTTTTGTTTGATCTAAAATATATTAAGCATACTATTTTTATAATTTTTGTGATTTTTAAGCATATTTATGATTAATAATATTTTTTTTATTTTTTTATTGTATTATCGGTTCGACCAGTGATCCACTAACCCGGTCCCTTTCTCGGGTTGATGTTCGGGCCAGGTTTTAAAACACTGCCATCAGCATCCATTTCAAAACTATTTATATTATGTCATTCTTTTAGACACGGGTTACCCCTAATTCTTTTCTTTTATAAAAGAGTAGGATGATTCTAGATAAATTTCTATGAAAAGGCAGAACCCGACACAAATTGGGGTTTAAGGCACATATTTATGTGGGCCCAGTTAATATTTAGAATAATTATATAAATAACATTATATAATTAATTAAAACTTACAATATGTATTTAAAATTATATTCTTGTTTTTTGCAAAAATACTTTAGATTTTTTTATTCAAGTTTTGTTATGTATTTTTCAATGGATAATATCGCTAATCCGTAAAAAAGTAAAAGCTATTTGATATAATGGTAAGTACTAGATTTTATGTTGGTAAAGTTATTGAAATTAAAAAATTTATAAATAACAAAACTCAAGTTAGATATCAGACAATCCAGTGGTATTTTACATTGTTATTAACAACATAAACAAATTCTCAACAAATTGGATTAAAAACTAAACAACTCTAACTTATCAAAAGACCATTGAATTTTAAAAAATCCAAAATAAAAATAATTCTCTAGTTACCCAAAGTAGTTGGTACTGAAAAAATATTGTTTACATACGTTTGTTACATATTGCAGGTTGCAAAACAAGAATAGGATTACTATGAAAAATAAAATCAAACTTAATCAAATGTTGATTTAAAAATGTTATTTGGGATACTATAAAGATAATATTAAACTTAGTTGAATCTCTTCAAAATGGGCCCTGGCCTGTAAGCATCAGCCTCGATGACTTAGACAATATAGCACAATCTATAAAATGACAGGAACATTTAGCAATTGTGTCTGCCATAAGAGATGACTCAGTAGCACTCGGTGACAATACCTTTCTGTGATAGCAGAAGAGTGGAAGCAATTATTTTTGCTTAACTTCCAAAGAAAGCAAGCTTTTCAAAATTTATAGTTGTCATGTAGAACAAGCAAAGTACACAGCAATGATTTTCTCACAAAAAAAATATCTACTCTTGCCAAACAATCATAAAAGCTTTACTCACATACATAGTTAAAGATAGGGTAAATTATACTTTGTGCTCAATTTATCCCACATACTAATTGAACTGCTTAAATTCGTTTCACATTACTCTAAAATCAAGCGTTCACTATATTTTGGACGAAAAATGTTCACATTTAGAGGCAAAGAGAAACAAAATTAGATAATTTGGCAGTAAGGGGAAACAAAATTATTTAATTTTGGGATAACAGTGTAGTAAAATCACATAGTTACGGAGTAAAGTGAGACAATTTTCCTTGAAATTTGTGGCGGACGACAATCATTAGAGTAATGTGAAACTAATAACAATAGTTAAAAGGTGGAATTTGAGAAATTGATAGTTGAGGAGGTAGTGTAAAACGAGGACCATAATTGAGTGGGTCAATGTGAAATTTGTCCTTAAGCTAAAAACACTCCAACCTTTCCCTGGTCTGCCGGGGCGTAAACCCTTTAAATGACTCTTCATTCACTGTTCTTCACAGACAAAAACTTGTGCTCAACATGGCTTCTTTCCTCAGTTACACACTCATCTCCTTTTATTTCATCCTTTTCCTCGCATTAGCCGGTAATTCAAATGGATCTTACTCCGAGGAGCTCTCCGAGGGCATCGTGATGAAGCAAACGGAGAAAACTACACACCTCCATTTCTACTTCCATGACATTCTCAGTGGGAACGATCCAAGCGTTATAAGAATTGCTGGAACGCCCGACTATTCAAGTTTTGGCGATACTTATGTGATCGATGATGCCCTGACCGAAGGGCCCGACCCCACCTCGAAGCTCATAGGAAGAGCACAAGGAATGTATGCTGTGGCAACACAACATGAAATGGCATTGCTCATGGTTATAAATTATGCTTTCATAGAAGGAGAGTATAATGGGAGTAGTATTAGTATTCTTGGGAGGAACCTAGTGATGAATGATGAGAGAGATATGCCAATCGTTGGAGGCAGTGGGCTGTTTAGGTTTGCTAGGGGGTATGCCTTGGCACATACAGCTTGGTTTGATGTTAAGACGGGAGATGCCACTGTTGAGTATAATGTGTTTGTCCAACACTCTTAGAATTTTGTTGAATTAGCCAGCGATGAAGCACGAATATTTCATTTAATTCAAAGTATTTGTATCAGATACGACACTTATCAAATATAATTGATGATATGTATCGTATATTAACTATAAGTATGTATAAATTATAATTTGGGTAAATTATATTTTGATCCCCCTAGACTATGGATTAGATTTCATTTTATTATTTGAACTATTAAATTATAAAATTGTCCTCTCAACTACTCGAATTATTTCACATTGGCCCAATCAAAAATATCTGCTATTTTTTGGACAAAAATTATTGATGTGTAGAGGCAAATTAAAGTGAAAAATAGTACATAGTTTGGAGGAAAAATAAAATAATTTTTCGTTAAATATGTGATGGATGTCAATAGTTAAGTCAACGTGAAACTAATCACATAGTTGAGAGTACAATATAAAAAATATGATAGTTGAGGGAATAATGTGAAAAAGGGTCATAGTTAAAGGAGTCAAAATATAATTTACTTACACTTAACACGTGTGAATGTGATTTAAAGGATGGATTTTGTGAAAATAGTCCAATACGCCTTTTAAACCCGTATTTGGTTCAAGATTTAAGGCTCAGATTCACGAGGCAAATAAATCTTGAGCCATAGTGAATAGTTGATTAAACCCACAATTGGGGGGGGTGTTTCAAAAGTGAAATGTTGGATTTGTAAATTAAAAAACTATTTTACCCAAAAAATCCAAAATAGGCCCTTAAAGTAAAATCCATGACATGTTTTAAAGCTTGGTGGTGTTTATCAAGTACTGTATGCTACCACAACTCAAAAAGGAGGAATATTATGGTACCGATTTTGATACTGCATCAAAAGTTATAATCTTTTAAAATCTAAAGTATAAGGTACAACTCGAAAGAGGATTTTACCAAATCATGTGGAAAAACGTCAGTTGACTAACATCATCTTAGCATCACTAGGATAAAAAATTACTGAAAACAGAGGAACAATCAAGGATGAGATAAAGCAAGAAGTATATTAGGACTGGAACTTCTCTATTCATTAATAATTCATCCTAATTATATAATGAATAGAGAATCAGTTTTCTTAAAATCAGTTTCTTACCAGCAATGGTCACATTGATAGAAGGCTTTGACTGGTCTGTAGAGAAGGTGCTCTCGGCGGTAACGGTGCTGCTGCTGAGATGGTAGATCTCACTTTTGCTCTGCCTCCCGGTGCCACGACAGAATCCTGTAACTAGTAACGACCAACCAAAGCTTGTGGATTGACCAAAGGACATTTAGTTTCCATCTTCACAACTGACTCCATAAATGAGACCTAGTGTCCAAATACGGTTGGCAGGACCAACTCTGCCATTAAACTCAAGTTTTTTTGTGTGACATTAACAGTCTTGCAGTTCCCAAGTTCATTTAGATTGGTTTTCCAAAGCAGACTGAAGATGGTGGTATATACACAGGTAAATATATATATATATATATATATATACAGTTTTTACTAATAGTGATATATTAATTAGTATTATTTCATTTGCATGTATTAACATAAACATTAAACACATATTCTTGTAAATTGAAATTGGTGGAAAATTGAATTTTCACTTCCATTCAAAACATTTGAAGAATGTGAGTTGGAGGACAAATACAAGAATCTCACATTGGTTTTTGGGGGGTTCTTCATCGATTCATCTTTTGCTATAAATAGAGAAAGAACTCTGTTCTCTACTCAAGATCTCGAGAAATCCTCTTTAAGAGGAGAAGACCTATATAATGAGAATTTCAAATTATAATTTATATATATAAAGAAGAAAAAGAAAGAAGAATAAATAAAAGGAAGGAGGAGGTGACGTTCGAACGCAAATCATGTTTGAACGAACCTTGCTCCGATTACCTTTTTAGAATTTCGAATTTTGACAGAAACTGAGATATTGAGATTTCGACATGTTCGAATGTGACTTGCTCTCAATACTTCGTTAAAAATCTCAAAATGTCTTAGAATCGAAATAGTGAGAATTGAGTCCATTCGAACCTGGGCAGCCATTTCGAGGGATGTCTTCTCTCATGGTTATGAAGATTTACACTCTTTCATTTATAGATGCATAGAATCCTATAAATAGGGTTCAAGTGCAAGAACAAAGTATCAGCAAATTGATTCTTCTACTTCTCCTTGATTTAAAACTTCTATATTCTCTGATTTTCTATATTCGGATTGAGTATTTGATTTCAAAATTACTAAGGAGTTCAGTCTTTGATAATTTTAAAATTAGGCATTGTATTATGGGAATAAAATTTCCATGAGTCTATTTGCATTAAAAGTGGAGAAATTATTACGTCGAAGATAACGAATACTACGCCTTACCTAACGATCTATTTTCTTCGGTTTTGATTTATTGTTTTTTTACTATTTGAAATTATTTTACCGTACCATATTCTACAACAACAGATGGTTTGAGACAAAAATTCAGACGAGTACATACAAAGCAGACAGAGAGAAGGACTGATATGTAATCTATGAAGCTTTGGCTTTATGGAATGATAATGCTCATTGTATTTGAGGCTCGTGTACCTTGATTATGCAAAATCAACCTCTTTTATATAGGAAAGCTTCGATGAATAAATCGTAGATATTGTCGGAGATGATCAAGAAGATATAATTGCACAGAGAAGGAAAACATGATGAGAACCTGAAAAATTTTAGTGGGCGTTGATGTTAGATCTAGATCCTCACCAATACATTTTCATTCAATTTTCTTCTTGATACATCATCTACAATTAATGAGTGAGAGATTCACTATTGATGAGTGAGGGACCACTTGCATATAATCGATCTCACTTGAATATATGATAGATAAATGATGTGCCATAAATTTTTTTTAAAAAAAATGGGTGTATTGAAGAGGATCTCGCTTTGTTGAAGCATGGAAAAACTGTCACTAAGATTTACTGGTGTGCCAAAGGATGCCAAATTCTAATTTTAGTCACCACGCGTATGTGCCGAATGCGCCATGTAGGCACCATCGCTCCCAGTAGCCACACGCAACTAGCGCCACTAAAGCACCCCATTGCTCCCACGTCCGTGTGCTAGGCCACTGTGCATACTAGAGTCTTTTTTCTAAAGAAAATGTTTGAAATCTACTATTCTTTGTACAATTATCAAACTTTTCCCATGAAGTGATCATGTGTCTTATGAGCTAGTTTTATAGTTATTTTATGTTGTATTTAAAGACTTGTAATCAATGTGAAAATCATGTTGGAGTCTTAAACTTTTTTGTAGTAGATTTGGGAGGTTCGGTTCTCCAGATGTGAACTAATGAAGGTTTGCATCTCCCTTGGAAGCGGGTTTCCTTTACCAAATTTTATTTTTCAAATTGTTTATATTTTCCTAAAAAATGTGCACGTAAAGATCCACTGTAAATAAATGGGTTTCCAATTAATACACAATGGAAGATTGTTTTGAGAAAGAAAAATTCATTGTGAGAGAATCTGGACCCATGACATTGTCGAGTCCTGTACATGTGTTTGATTTTGAAACTTTAGTTCCTTAGGGTGTATTGTTAAGGAGCACTTCACAATCCAATGACACGTGTGATAAATTTGATTCCAGCATACAACCAAATTGTATTCTAAATGAGTGTGGACCATTGAATTAGTGAGTCTCGATAAAAAAAAAAAAAAGATAACAAAACTCATTAATTCGAGGGTCTACACTCATTTCAAATACAATTTGAAATGTCTAACCATTACTCATGCATACAAAGATGAAGCTATGAAGTCTTGTTTGTGCTAGAAGCAAAGCATGCTCTAAATATCTCCATTCCATTATCACCTGTGCCTTTGAATCATTGCTACTTATATACTCCAGAAGAAAGGTTCATCAAGTCATCATATCCTCCTATCTAAAGTTTGGACGAATTACATTTTGACCTCCTCAATCGTACTAATGTATCACACAACCCCTTTAATTGTCATCTGCCTCATATTGTATCTCCAATTATGGGTATTAGTTTCACATGGTTACAATTCCAGGCGTACAGAAGAAATTGGATGAAAATTTGTGTCATTTTGCTTATCAGCCTCTGCAATTTTACTTTATTTTGCCCTAAAATCAGTTAAGACATAAAAATTTTTTGTCCAAAACATAACAAGTATTTGAATTTAGGATAATGTGAAATCAATTCCCGTAGTTGAGAGAGTCGGTGACGAACCCAACTAGAGTGTGATGATGTCATCATCAAAAGTGTAATTTATCCTTTAAATCAATCAACGTGGGCTTAGGAAGTGGGATGATCTAGTTAGTGTGATGCCCACCTTCATTTTTTAAGGCAACTTTAATGTACATCACGTGTGACTAATTGAGATCAAAATCAAAGTTTGGAAGACTTTGCCATATGTAGGGACCCTAAGGTCGTTGATGACACTTTTAAATGGAAGATCAGTGGAATCGAGTTGGTCATTTTTTTTTTTCCGGTTTGAAAAGGGGAGTGAGGGTCGACTAATAGAGAGTATCTCTTATTGTAGAATGTTCGGTTTGAACCATAACTACTAATTTGAACAGGCAGTCCGTCAACACAGCATTACCAAAGCCAAACAACAAACTACTTTGATGGTGTTGTGTGTCTCTCTTTATGTGCTTTCTCCTCTATCACAAATTGATCTAAGTAGTGTTTAAAACCAACATTGAGAGGAGTGTTGTGACTTGTGACTATTCAGTTGACATTATCAACTGATTAAATCTAATTTGCCCTATTTTTCATATCTCTAAACTTGAGCAAGATTGAATGAAAAATCATGCCTTTGCCCCCACACTGCAGTTTTGAAACCCATCTTTGCTGCAGAGTTAATGGTTTCCACAAACAATGAAAAGCCCTCAATTTTTTTTAGTGGGAAACAAGCATAGGAAATAATTTCTTCACAGAAGTACAGGACACATAGCCCCTGCAAAAGGGAAATTGCATTAGAGAGTACCATCATAGCTTCTCCTCTCAGCCTCTATAGATAGACACACCAATTACCACCACAGCCAAAGCCAGCCCCAAATGGCCTCCTCTATGACATACACTCTCCTCCTCTTAACCCTCCTCATGGTCATCTCAACCACCTTCATTCCAATTAATGGAAAATTTTCGGAACAATTCGCCGAAACCAAGGCCAAGTCTCATGTCAACAACATGATCCATCTCCATTTCTACTTCCATGACATAGTCAGTGGAAAACATCCAACTGCTGTGAGAATTTCCGGGCCTAAAAACGCTTTTGGTGCCACCGCGATGATTGATGATCCTTTAACTGAAGGGCTCAAGCCTGGTTCCAAACTTGTGGGAAGAGCTCAGGGAATGTATGCCTTGGCTTCCCAACATGATACAGCTCTGCTTATGGTTATGAATTTTGCTTTTCTGGAAGGTAAGTTTAATGGGAGTGCACTTAGCATTTTCGGGCGCAATCGAGTGTTTGATATGGTGAGGGAGATGCCCATTGTTGGTGGCAGTGGGCTTTTCCGACTGGCTCGAGGTTACGCATTGGCGAAGACGGTGAGAATTGAACAGAAAACTGGAGATGCTGTAGTGGAATACAATGTGTTTGTAGTGCTTGCTTAAGGCATTGTAGTATGTTTTGAGTGAAAACATTTTAAAGACTAGCTATGCATTCTGAGTTGCATGCTAATATGTCTCATGGCAACTTTTCCTCTCATGTCTCTAGCAGAATTGTGGTAGGGCATCAATTTCAGTAAGGTTACAAATGAACCGAACTATTGATAAAGCTCAAGACATGGTCGAATAAAAGTTCATTCATTTATGGAGTGAACAAAGCTCGAACTCTGAGCTAAGTTTAATCTTGAATACACGCCTAAAGACTAGTTTATGCTCGAATATAAGATCAAACTCAATTCATTAAATCATCAGAGGTTGAGCTTGAAGAAAAAAAATTAATGAATTGAGATTAAACAAGATGTTTGAAACTAGTCACGACTCTGAGCCCATTCCAGAGATTCGTGACTTAGGAACCAACTGATCCCTAACTTTGTCATTGAAATCTAGTTAATGCTACCCATTCTCTCCCATGACAATTCTTCTGACTTCTCGTGCTTGGCTTCTCAATTCAAATAACTTATCTATCCAAATTTATCAGACATCACGACTAGATTCAGACCATTTTAACTGCACAACAGAAAACTTAGGTGCATATGGACCATTAAAATAGCTGACAGTAAATAATTTCTGGGTAAACAAACATGTTATTTTTTTCATGTTGGTTTCATAAATTTTGAATAAAACAACCTATTTTTTTCAGAGTAGACACGCCACTGCAGGAATACACCCCCATTTAATCAAATTACAAAAGAATCGAAAGCATCTGCTCTTCGAGTAGGTTGAGAAGTCTACTAGAAAGAAGCAGCTTTGATGTGCTAAACAATATCACAATGGTTGAATTCAAGTAATTCTTTGGCTGCTAAATATAATCCATAAAGCTTAAAAAAAAAAAACCTACAAGGAAATGTACACAATTTCAAAGAAACATAGGCAGCAAAAGTATAGCACAACTAATAATAAGTGTTCAACATTCACAGAGAGAGAGAGAGAGAGAGAGAGAGAGAGGAGCTCTTGGAAAAATTAAACATGTAGAACAGATTGTGAAGTTCTTTAATGCTTACCACAGAACACTTTGTGTTGGGACTTATAATCTTTATACAGATAAAGAAGACGCATGTAGAGACTGCAAATCTCAGCTTGATAATAGCGTCAATTATATCTTCTAAACCTCCAGGCTGAAACCGAAAAAAGGGGTTGATCATGCCAGCAAATGACTAAACAACCGCTCTCTTCTTTGATCTTATATCCATCATAGCCATGGCTCTGCAACAACCTCGTCGCCTGTAACAGACAATGGTAGCTAAAAGGAATCCTCCCGAATCCAGCCAACTCAAACCTCGGAATCCACTTCTCAAGCTTCTCATGCCTCTCCGTTCTTTCAGGTCCCTCACATGCGACGATATTCTTTATTTCCTCTCCAAAAAGCATCTTCTCAATTTTTTGGCGTTCGATTGATGCCCTTGGTAAAGTAGACTCCAAGCAATCAAACAGTGCAGCATAAAATTTCAATGCTTTACTAATTCTCTCCATCACACTAATCCCATTATGGTTTGATTCTTGCTCAGTTACCACCATTAGCTTTGGCGAAAGACCCCAAAGGGCATTTAGAAAACTTGTCATCTTTGGTGACTTCATCCTTGGTGAAGCAGCCAAAGATAGCGGGGAGGATGTTGTTGAATCAGGACTTGGGCTATATGTATTAGACACGTCTTTCTGAAGAAAATCTCCTAAAGTACGTGGATTCATTTGCAGAATTCTGTGAAAGTGAACTGAATTTGAAATCTTGGATGCTGAGGGGGAGTATCCACGGAGCATCTCATCATCAAACGCCAAGAGAGAATGTAATTCAAGTACAGAGCTGATTGCCAGAGCTTCTCCTTTCTTAACACCCAAACTTTCAAAGTCAAGATTCTCTAGTCTGGTCACTATAGGATTAAATTGAAATCCGATGCCCAATTTGGCAGCTTCTTCACTTAATTGATGATTCATTTGCTCCAATACTTCTTTATGTTCATGAATACCAGTAATTTTTAAATGAGGTGGGCCTTCAGGCCGGGCACTTAATGACTGAAGAAGATCAATCCACTGGGCAGGCTCAAAAGAATTGAGATCAACAATATGAACCACCTTCTCCCCTTCCATAGCTTCTAAAATAGCCAGGTTCGTGATCACATACGCTAGCTTTAAGAAGGGAAAGAGTTTAAAGAAAATTTTCTGAACCATAATTTCGTCGGAAACAGATGACCCTTTGGTGGAATTCAAGGCCCTATGCAAACCGGGCCAGCCTTTAAGCATCCGGTCAGCAAGTGCCTCAGTGAAGTACGCAGCAATTCTCTGCATGGAATCACCGTCGGGAGAGACAAGATGGGAAATATGCTCAAGGCATATATTGGCATTCTCAACATTACCGTTAGCAACATGGTCAGCACAGGCCGCAAGAAGATTAATTAGGCAGAAACCTCGCTGCTCGGATTTCATCTCCTTGATCCATGGATGTGGAGATCCTAAACCAGGTGATAGAGACATCATGGATAAGACTTGAAGGGGCGATGAACTCACAGATGACGACCCCTCTTCTTGAACCATTCCAGCCATTAACAGTACAATTGGAGAACAAGTGCCAAATACGAGGCCTGAAATAATAAGTTGAATCCTATAATGGCATAGTACTTTGAAGTGCATTAAAGAAAAAACATACTGAGCTCACCTCGACTATGTGAAAATGTTGAGTGACAAGGTTGTAATATAGGAAGTCCCCAAAACAAGAGTGATATGATGCAAAACGTCCTCTTCTTCTATATTTGGAGCTACAACGAGAAACAAACCAGTACAGCCAAATAGTGGCATAGGCATAGCTATTATTTAAATTCAAAGGTTTTGGGTGTTTGGAAGTCTCTGTCTCTTTCCTATTTCCTACATTCTCTAAGCAACTAAACAAGAGACACATAGAACACATCCCCTTAACTAAGCTGAACTGCCACATGGTATAGTAGCACTTATAGGTTATGTAAATACTGTATGAAGGAAATTTACGACGCAAAATTTTTTAATCTCTTTTCGATATTTTCCTGCATGAAAATGAGGTTAATTGGGTAATAGAAACATTACACACAGGGACGGAGCCATTAGGACAGAGCCATTATTGGGCTACGGTGGACCGAAGCCAGAGTAAAAAAAAAATTTACCACTTTCATAGTCTCTCTCTCCCAGTCTCTTCTCTTTCAGTCTCTTCCCCAAATTCATGCCGACAGCGGCGGCTCTCTGTCTTCTCTCTCTCTCTCTCAGTCTCTTTCCTAAACTCATGCCGACAGGCGGCGGCTCCCTGCGCAAACACCCTCCTCCCATCCCCTCCCCTCCCCTCCCCTCAAGCGCCCAACCCGAACAGCGCCCTTCTCTCTTCTTTGTGGGTCGTTGAGAGTTTCTTTGGAGCAGCTATGAATCGTTGTACTGGGTATTGCATTTTTTAAGAACTCTTCTCTGATAGTACGATTACATTATGTCCTTTCTTTAATTTTTTTATTTTTATTTTGGGTATTGCATTTTTGTATGGCAAGTTCCATTCACATGTTTTGATGAGCTTTTTTCGGTGGCTTCTCTTTCTTTTATAGCGTAACCTTAAGTGATCTGTCTTTTCTTTTGATTTCAGCTGAGTTTCACTATTAAGTGATTGCATGCTCTATTGGTGACTTCTCAAAGAAATTGTGGTTGTGTCAATTGCTTATTAATAATTGTGGCGTTGTTGCTTATTGAAAGAAACATCCCATGGCAGTGAGCCTACAAGCTGTTTGATCAAATGCCCCTGACATACATTCTCGCAAAAAAGAAGAAAAATTAACAGTCGGTTTCAAATACTAATGAATTAGCTCTGTCGGTTTCAAATATTAATGCCAGAATTATGGCAGGGGATTATGTAAGTTGCATTATTGTTAGTTTGGGTGCCTTCTTTATTGAAGGCATCTAAAATGGATCATAGGAGATGTAAAATGAATTTAATTAGCGCTACCCAAATCTCTATTTCCGAAAGGATGACGTAGTAAACATAGGAGATCCTAATTATTTTCTTGATTTGTTATAGCCCGAATTAGTAATTGAGAATGATTTGAAGAGCTTGAGTTGCGGTTATTGAGTAAACAATGAAAAGTATTTTTTGGTAACTCTCGATTTGAATCTATTTTAATACTTTGAATGATGTTGTTTAGATTTATTAAAATTATGAATTGAATAGTTTTATGCATTTGTACTTGTATTTGTTTCCTAATAGAGTATTTGTTTCCTAATGCATTTGTACTTGTATTTTTAATACTTTAAAATTTAGTCTTCTTGATTATATATTCAGACGTTATTTGGATTGTTTTCTCTGATTTTTTGTTGATTATTTTTTAACTAGAATAGTAGAGTATTTTTTACATTTGTATTTTGTTAGTCGTATGAATGCTTAGTTTAATCTGGGATTAACAAAAATCCTAACTCTGCCCTTGATTACACACCATAGAAATGAAGCCAATACATGGTCTCTCTGCTTTCAAAATGAATTACGCCATGAGTTTTCAAGCCTCAAGATATATCAAATGCAAGAAAACTATATACACGCAAAAGACAATTAACCACCACAACATCAGAACAACATATGCACAAATGGGTGTGAATTAGTTTCACAAATTGAACAAAATTATGAATCAAACACATTAGACATAGACCAAGAAGAAGAAAATTACCAGTAATAGTTCAAGAGGACCCCCAAGAATAACCGTTCAAGTCATCATAAATTTCAAATTCCAAGCTGGGTTTTGTAATTGATCAGAAACCCAAGAAAAAAAAACCCCATGAAAATTGCCAACCTTGCTCAACCCAAGTCTCCTAAACCAATAAAGTGGTTTCAGAACTATCCAGGGTTCCTCATCCTAGGGTTTAGTGGCAATGTGGTTCAATTTAAATTAAAGATATTGTCTTGAAGAACTTCTCCATCGATGAGTTACTGACAATTGACGTGATTGTTTTTGTCCTCATTGATTTGTTGTCCTCAGAGGAATAGGGAATTTGTGAAATCCAGAGCCCCCCCTCTCTCTCCCCTCTAAAAATATATTTGTAATTATACATGATGGAAGAGAATCAATGCTGGCCAAGCTTGGTATTATTCTTCATCACTATGAAAATCCAAGCATCTGTTAGCACAATAAAACAACATTGTTTGTTGCGTAGTGGGTGATAGTGGGCATTGCAATGAAGCCTTCCAAGAACCTCCAAAGCCAATATTTGTTTTCTTTTCCAAGGTATACACCATTCACTTGGTGCTATCTTCTCACATTAACACAATAAAGACGAAGAGGTTATGGAAAAAGCCACAAGTAGAAACAACATTAATGTTGGAGTTATTGGTTGAAGTCCTTGAAATATCCCAACCCCATAACTTTTAAAGTTTATCATTTGGAATTGATATTATAATTGAATAGTACTTTCACCTCACATTTATACTTGATATGTGCTACATCTTCATGGGTTCATCTCTCTGCATTGTACATTATTTAGGTGTACTTATTCTCTCAAGAGGCTTTTATTAGATTCCCTCTTTGATAACCATTAGATTTTCCCTTGAAGTTTGTTCATACATACAAAACTAACAAGTGAATGCTCGATAATTTTTGTTTCAAAGTTGATTTTCTTCTTGGAAATGTCTTTTTTCTGGTCCCTTTTGAAACATCAACTACAATAATACATTTTGCGATTAATTTTTTCCTTTTCATCTTTAATCTAACATTTAAAATTGCTCCGATATTGTTATCCACGACACATGGTAGATGCTAATAAGTGTTTAATTTAAGGTGAAAATAACTAACATTAAATGGTGAATATTACTTTTGGTTCATAAATAGACCACACAAGCCCGTTTTATTTATGATTCAAAATAAAATAAGATAATAAACAAAATACAATAAATCTATCATACATCACTTGTCTAGGAAGAGCAATGATTTACGCATTGACAGTAATGCAAGAGATGAGAGAGATAGGAGTAATGTGCTCTCTCTCTCTCTCTCTCTCTCTGTTTTTATGTGCAAAAATAGGTATACCTAAAGTGTATCGGAAGGAATATAATATAAACATTGAAAAAGATAAGCAAAACATTATGCTTTTTGGGTACCCTAATGATTTTGTGACAAAAGAAGCAATTTGGCACCTTGTTTATGAATTGATAACTTCTTGTCTCAAGTGGCATGACCGGTCCTAACGATGCTTTCTTAGTTGATGGTGTTTTCAAGGAGTGACGTTTGTGTTGCTTTGCGGGTATTCTAATGCGAGATTTCCAACATTTTTTGGTCAGTGTAAGACAATGGAGTTTGACAATGAAGTCGAAATGGGTCCTACGTGAGTTCTAACTTTGGAGGCTTTTGGGTAAATTACACTTACACCTCTTCAACTAACACCCTTGTTCTACTTTATCCCCTCAATTATCAAATTTCTTATATTGTACCCTCAACTATGTGATTAGTCTCGCATTGCCACAATTATTAACATTCGTTACATATTTAACAAAAAGTTATTTTATTTTGCCCTCCAAACTAGATAATTTTTTTCACCTTACTCCAACACGTAAGCGATTTCCGCCCAAAAAGATAACATACGTTTGTGATTGGGATAATGTGAAATAAAAGGGTTAGTTTAGTGTGCAACTTAAAAAATTTAATAATTGAGAGGACAAAATAAAAAAAATCTGATAGTTCAGCAAGTGCAAGTGTAATTTACCTGAGGTTTTTTAACCTATAGCTACTAAGAGCATCTCCAACAAGGTTTTATATTTTAACTATTCAAAAGTGCACATTTTTTGTTTAGCTACTCACTTTTTCAATACATACTCTATCAAATTTTTTATATTTTAACTACTTTTTAGTGGTGATATAATTTTTTAATTTTTAAAATTTTATTCGACTATAAAATCTTGTTGGATGTAAAATATAGATATCATCATCTACATCCAGAAAATCGTATGCTTTGGAAGAAGCTTGTATAGTTTGGGAAGTCGGACACTAGACAAGTGGAGGCCCCACATGATTGCATAAGTTGCTTATAGTGGCCATGAATGTGAGTGTATAGCTTTTGAATTTTAACACAATTCCGGATATAATCCCTAAATTTTATCTTATTTTTATCTACATATATAATTATGACCAAGTGATAATCAGGTTAAGCATTACTATGTTCGAATTTAGGAAATAAGATAGAATGGCTTCCATTTCAACTATTGGTCAAAAAATTAAATTATGTGCAAAAAAGACAATTTGGATTGAAATTCTAATTCAATCCATTGGCAAAACTAGTTTCATATTATCGACTTGGAACTTAGTCATGGACTTGGGAACTGTCAAAAACAAGGCAACCCAATGGTCATCTAAAATTTCAAACAATATAGTGCTAGTCCAAAGATAACACAGTCCAAGGCTTTACCCAAAGTTACAAGAACTACTTATAAGGCTGAAATACCCAATAAATTTAGGACATGTAAGGTGACAAATGATAAGAATTGATAGTTTACATAACAGTGAGGCTCGATAGAGTCCAACAAGATTGATACGAACAACAGTGCCAACATTCCAGTGTCGCAACAAGCATCGGCACCGCAATATCATTCTAGTGCCGCAACAGGCACTCTAGTGTTGCGATAGAACCAGCACCACGAAGGGCAAAACACATCCTCATTACAATGGAAGTGGCAAAACGGCACCACAAGGGTCTAGGGGCTATCGTGGCATGACTCGCCTCTGCCATTACTGAAACATGACACAAGATTAGGATTGCACAACCAACAGAATTGGTATCATCAATCTACTGGATACCGTTGCTCGATTGGCTCACTGGAC